ACAAATAAGCCCCAAATAAATTATTAGAAAATTAAAAATTCTCTTTTCTTTTTTAATAATTTATTTGAGACACATAATCTGTACTTTTTTTTTAAAAGAAAAATTGAGAATATGATTGCAATTAGTTCTTTATTTTTGTTTTATTTAAATACGAAGGTATACTCATCATTTTACAATTGCAATTGAAAATTGGATGAAAACGATTAAAAGTGATGATTTTCGCAATGAAGGATTGAAATAGATGTGAATATACCAAAAAAATGTAACATCAGAACGTTTTGTACAATGAACTCCATACGTAAAGGATAAGGACATTTTGCACAATAAAAGTAGTCCAAAAGTTTATGGGTTAGGTTATTGATTTTTGGTTTACTTTAAACGTGGAGTATTTATCCTTCACATAAAATTCTTGCAACTAATACACGTGAGTTGCTACATTGGCAATCGAAGGACGCAGACACGTCTTGATTCTGTTTTCCCATTCTACAAGGCAGAAGATTTGATCCTCTTCACATCTCTTATCTCCACAAACAGTGAAGATGAAAAAATAATACGTGGCTGGCTCAGATTTTACCTTCGAAATGAAGCAAGTTCGAAGAAAGGATGACATAACCTTAAGAAGCTAATTGGTATACATACACGAAGTCATAACTTATATATATGAATATATAGAGACATTAACGCTTACTCATTGCCTTCATCAATTTGTACCTTTAAAAGCTCACTTGACGAGATTTTAATTTCTAATTCTATAGAAGAACTTTTTAAGGATTCGAGATAATTTAATGAATCGTCACTTAGCTTTACTATAGGTTACTATTTGCTTACTGATTTTTAAAAAGTTACTTTTTGCTTACTTAACTTTGTTATAGATTAGTACTTATTCATCGAAATTTAAAATGTTAATTATTGGTCACTTAAATTTGAATAAAATTTCTCGTTGCTCACCGAACCTTGCAATGAATAACACTCGTGGAAATCATATGAGTGATTGATAGTTAACTTCATTCAAATTTGGATGAGTCGTAAGTAACCTTTTAAATTTCAGTGAGCAAATAATAACATATAACAAAGTTCAGTGAGCAAAGAATAACTTTCTAAATTTCGATGAGTAAGTAGTGACCTATAACAAAGTTCAATGACCATTGATTAAATTAACTCCAAGGAATCTACTTCGGCTTGCACGAACCATGTGATCGCATGGATTTGTACCATGCAGTTGCATGGCACATATTCTTGATCGTTAGGAGCAGTTTTTTGAATGTTAGATTTTGATTTTGGTGACCTTTCACTAGTATTTTGGCACCATTTCACATCTCTAGTCGTGGTCTATATATAGAGGAGCCATTATTCAAGAGAAAAAGGAATAATAATAATAAAAAAAAAACACTTGAGATCCAAAATTATTCCACAAATAAAATCAAAATCCCTGATTACATTCATATTCGTTTTTCTTATTGTGTTCTTCAAGTTTTGACGAAAAATTTATTTTGCTTTGTTATTTTCTGTATTAAGGTTTGTTACAATCCTTCAAACTATTTGTTGGAATACCTTTAAACATCTTGAAAATAGTGAATAAAGAGCAAATAATGTTTGAGGACAGCGATTACGCATTCAAGCCTTCGATTTTGTTCTTTTCAAATTTCTGGTGTTAATTATTTTGTTGTTGCATTGTAGTGATATAATTCTTGTCTCTTTAACATTTCTCCTCTATATTTTCCAACATCCCATGCAAACTCAAAGTCAAACTGCTCAATTATAAAATTTAAAGTTGAAAGCAAGTAATTAAAGTCGGTGCAAGCCCTAGCTACTTAGTACTGTTCTTCTAATATCTTGTCGGACCTTAGTTTTGACCCTCCAAACCGACCATGTCAGACTAATCTTGTTATACGCGTTATACTAGAATAAAGCAATTGTATATGTCATATTTATTATAATAGAAAAGAAACTAGTCCATGCAGTAAATAATTCACGATAAGGCGGTAGTTGGTTTATTTGACTTTAGCTTACCACTATTGGACAATCTTATAGGCAACATTTTCTATGATAAGCAGATATTATTTTCAACATCTTATAAAAGGGTCCCTACAAGTATCAAAATACAGGAAATCAGGTTTTTTAAAATCTTGATTTATTATTATTATTATTATTTTTTTGCCTATCCTCGCTGATAGAGTCGGCTTAGCCTCAGGAAAAAATTAGACAATATGCTGAGAATTTTATTAAAAATTTATTTTAATAAATTTAATTTGTAGACAAAAATTCTATCATTTAATAAATTAATAAATATTATTTAGTGGCTTTTCAATTAGTAATATTAAAAATAACAATAAAACTATATTTAATTAATCGGAAAATATAAAAATTAAATATTAGTTCAACAATTTAAGATTATGAATCCTTAGTTAGTAATATTGAAAATATACAGATAGTTTGGACGTGTGAATAGTGGTAGCAATGTAGCCGTTAATTGTGGCTAACGTGGACATACATAATTGGTTGTTCAACACTTTTCTAGAAGGTTAGATCTAAGTGCTGACGAAAATTAAAGAATCATTCTAAGGAATATTCAATTGAAGCAGAAGAATCTCATCAAATGCTTCAACTTTCAAAGTCGTGGTTTGTAAGTCTCAAATGACTGATTCATTGATAGTCAAATTGGTCGGTAATTTTTTACTTCCAACATTATTTTCTATATTATTATTTGAGGATAAGGATAACTGCACTGTTATTAAACGTATTTAATACGTTGAATTAAATAAGTTTATTTATATACCCAATAATGCCCTCGTCCTTATATAGTCCCTGTTTGATTTCCATTTTTTTCTCATTAAAATGAAAATTATAATCGTTATCCATCATATCAAGTCATCAAATTTGAATATCTATCTCTTGCGTGGATCCCGTAATGACTATATTTTTCATTGTCATTCTTCCAAAAATCAGAAACAAACGAGAGCATAGTTTGCAATTATCTGGATAAATATTTATTTTCTTCATAAAAAAAAACCCAAAGTAAATTAATGCTAATAAGAGGCACAGGTGGGTGACACGAGGATTTTTTTTTTTT